CAGTGGTTGTTTTTTTACGTTTCCGTAATTCAATCTTGTTGTTCCATGTCTGTATCTGTTTCAATGCATCTCATTCAATGTCGTTGTAATTACACAACACGTTACGTGTTTACATTTTGTTATTTAAACCTCTGATGTTGATACGATGTTCGGTGAGCCATAATATTTTCTATACCAATAAAAAGGAATAGGATCTTTATTAATTGGGTTTGGTAAATTTATTGGTTCCATGGTAATTTTAGTCAGCCCTCCATACCAAGGAAAGATAATGTTAGAATCGTTCAAACAAATATATTGATAAACACATTAACATTTTCAACTTCTTGTGCACCCCAATCATCATTTATATTACAAATGGAAAATAAATTTTGGATGTTACTGATCCAGGTGTGTTTTGTTCTGGTTTGTATAGCATATTTTAACATTTCTTGGGGTACCTTAAATTTGGCATGGAAATTAATTTTGCCCAATATTTAACGCAGTGTTTCGCTATGTACAGATAAATAGGATATCTCCCACACTCTTCTAGAATACTACAATTCAGTGATCTATTGGAAACACAAAGAAACATTCTACAGGGAAGTTGTATCAAAGACCTTCTGTAGATTCTTTAGGAACAAATGAACAAAAGAGTGATTTTTTCGCTTGCTACGCCAATAGTTGTGTTGCCATTGACCGGTGTAGTCTACAGGAAACTTAATTCCAAGATATTTGTAGTATGAAACGGTTTATTCCCTCCATAAACTCACTTTTCGTTCCTTGATGAATGTCCCCTGGCCTTGAAAACAAACATTTTGGTCTTGTCCAAGTTTACAGACATACACCAGCGCTCACTATACAATTCTAGTTTGTCTAGTACCCTCTGGAGCCCAACAAGTGAATCTGATGCTAATTGCAATATCATCAGCAAATAGAAGACAGAACAATTCGATTAAATCGGCTGCCAAATTTCTGCGATTTTCGTTGCTGTACCAGATACAATTTCACGTAAACATCTACTGTAAGTACTGGGAATACATACGTGATTTGCTGTGACAATACCATCAGTATGAGAATAAGCATCGATGCGTACAGAGCAAGAATTGGTTGTTTTACACAGCCAATTGCCGCCAAGGTGAGGTGTCCATTAGTGACACCTATACATTTACATGACAATGGAATCAATCTGGTGATGAGTATACGACTTATCCTTATGCTGCTGTGTATTGGCAATGTAGAATCCAACCCGGGCCTAAAGGACACAGCTAAGGCTGACGACAGTACTAAATTAATAGTAGAAGTTCGCAAAATGGGCAAATAGCTCAATGGTAAAAAGGACTACTACAGAAATCCTTGAAATGAAAGCGACCCAGGATAAACTACAGCAGACGTGTTCAAATATAGCTAACAAATTGCAAGATTTATCTAAAACAGTATCGAACATAACTACTGACGTGGGTGCATTAAAAGATAGCTTGCATATTCCAAACTTGATGTATAGGATCTAAGCGATAAACTAGAAACACTTGCAAATCAGGTCAAAAATTTGGATGATGACGTTGACAAACGAGAAGTAATTATTAGGAGAGACAATGTGGTATTGTTAGATATCGATGTTGGCGAGACTTATGAAACGGTCAATCAACAAAATCGGCCAATTGTCGTGAAATTCCATCATTTCGAAGACAAAATATTAGCACTGTCGGTACACGCTGACCTGAAAGTGGACGGAATTGGAAGTGATAAAACCAAACGGTAGCGTAGATGTCTGGCTAATCTGAGAAAACAAGGACGCAAGGGATACTATAAAAATGGCAAATTGGTCGTGATCAGTGGCAACAGAATGACCCACGCCACATAGGGACGATGAATGAACTTTTGATGTCGACTAGAACCGGACTAAGAACTCGCCTACAAACCATGTTAGCCAATACCAACGACCTAGAAGCTTCTACCGAATTGATTGATATACAAGCAAACCAATGGAATTGATATCACTGTGTGCGCCCCCTTGCAGACTGACTATTCATAATTATATATCTTTGGTGCGTTGGTAAACTACCACAATTTTGAGCGTATCCATGGCTTCTCTTCACAGAGAGTCGCACGCATGCCATTGGAGGTTTCCCCTGTCAGACTAGCTCTATATGTCAATCGATTAATCTCTCGTGTCGCCAGGTCGGCTTTATACAGAGAAAGGTAAGGATATGGCACGACAAGCCATAAATAACTTTCCCCCATCACAAATACACAATTGTGTTTATTCAATACACTATTTAAAAATCGATATTCTCTGTGAAGCAAAATTATTATTACACGCCACTCCATATGACTCACACAGGTCAAGAATGAAATACCTTCACCGAACGAAACCTTCAGTGCGGAAGGAGTAACCAGAGGCTATTGAGACAGTAAGACAGGATTAGATAGTTTTAGCAAATCGAAAGAATATTCTTAGATTTGTTACACTTTTCACAAGGCAGAAAATAACAAAATATTCAAACATTGCTTCAAATAGTAAATAACATTACTCCATAGTGTATTCACATTTTAATTCATGCCAGACAGACAAAACATTAACACAATTAAAACTACATATACAAAATGATGTGAACACACAACCTTGCCCTGACCTTGATCTCAGTGAGCAAAGTCGGACACACAAAATAAAACCATTCAATCTAGTTCATACATTCGACATTCGGTTCATTAATCCGTCGTGTAATGCTATTTATATTATGCCACTGGCGCATATTCAGAAACCCTGTTCGCATTACACGATACTTTAAATGATACATGGGGTCATTGATCTAGATGATAAATAGGGTACAGTGAAATGTTAAATATTTATCTAGAATATATCAAGAAATATCATCATGGAATACATCTTTCTTTCTACCGGTGCAACAAATAATAGTTGTGACGTCACACGGAGTTTTCTATTTATATTCTCATATAGTTTTATTCTATAGATTACCGCTGTTTGTCCTGTTTCCTTTGTATAGCTTTTGAGGTGCCTGGTCGGTCATTGACCCCGATCGCTCTGTTGTAGTCCTGTGTAAGGAGATAATTATTTATATTGCCTCATCACAAATGCTGTACAATGCTCGCTATAACCAATAACCTAGTATTTTATCTTAAATATATATTTTTCACATATACTGCTCTGATGCCGGAAATAGACGCAACACGACCTGCGATATTGAAACGAGAACAAACTGTAAGTGTAGAGACCCGTGACAGCGGTATTTGTAGCCTACCTCTCGATTTAGTTCTGTACCAAAATCCACCTGGGTAATGACGAAGTGACGATCAAATGCTGCTGGTTTAGAACTCTGGTTCTATCCACAGTACGTGTCAGTTCGAACGTAGCCTAACGGTGGTCAAAGGGATTGACGTCACGACAATGATGGGTGTGAATAGCCTTACTTTCAAAGTATGACATCACGAAGCATTGTGTGATGTGATTAATTATTCATGAGATGTTCGATGCGGTCGAAAAAACGAATGATTCAAACTAAAATAGCCGACAAATGCGTTTATAATTTTTTCAAGGGCTCTGAGCATGTAGTGAACTTTTTGGGGGATTTACAACAAATCACCGAAAAAGTCACGAAAGGTAACGTAGATAGGGTTCAACATGTCTCTATCGTTTGCGTATGTTGTCCTCATTTGACCTGTTTTCGGTGTTGTACTGCGTTCTAGTTCCATGTTTAGTAAGCAGTAATAAGGTCTGGCATTCGTGACAAACATTATTTTGACGACGGTGTTTGTCTCATACCGACTATTCTTCTGTTATTGTGAGTGTTGTGTTTATACTGATGATTGCGAAGAAAACCACGAGAACACAAGATGGTGGCTGTGACGGTTGGTTGGTTGTTCTCGGTTCCCATATTTGCTGCATGTTCATCTATGGTGTTTACCAGGCGTTTGGTCCACTGTTCGTGGCAATACAATGTTGTTTCCATGCAACATCTTCATGTACATCGTGGATTTTGTCTCTATCTTTATTCCTGGAACTAGGGTTAGGTAAGTACACCAGCAGCTTATGTACTGAATTAATTTGTGTGTTTATGTCACAACATACATTTGTGGGAGAAATAATGTCTTGCCATAACACCCCTCAACATATTTTTACATCTTTTTAAGCGATGACAAAGTGAAGGGCGGTCTGAAAAACGAGATGTTATGAGGAGGGTTCCAAGTTCTGTTGTGACATGGGGTCAGAAACACTTTTAAAAAAAATGATTAATTATTCACCAGCAAAACGAAAACGCC